ATATGCATATAATCCCCAGTTTTATTTTGGTACTGCAGACATCTTACCTTAATTCCTATCATGTACTCACTCAGCCCGTGGCTGGGGCTTCTCTCACATCCCCTTGCATATTACACTAAAATGCAGAGATATTAGAGAGGCATTTTTTTTCATCTGGCGTGGATGCTAAATTGTTGTTCTGGACAGGACCCTGATATCATTCAAACAGAATGTATTTTATAAATACATGATGTCTGACACACAAGATCTGCTCGGATTTCTTCCACTATATGTGCCTAGTACTGATTTCAATCTATGCGCATTATTACATTAAAGAAAACAATGTCTATATGCAGTACACGTTGAATTCTCAGTTTCTTGTTTACGAACGCTTTTCAAATGAACATAGGCTTTTCAGTGTAACACTCAATATGTTTCAAAAGAATAACTATAAGAAAGAAAATACCAAAATCAACAAACAACTATGAACCAGAGTCACTCTATGGGGGGTAGGGAGTGTTGAAAGGAGGGATTGGGGTCAAAATAAGGGGGTTGTCATTGTATGGGGAATATAAAAATAAATTTAAATTTATAAAATAAAACAAATGAAGGGAAAAAAGTTTTCATTAAAAATGGATGTAGAAGGAGCATACCTAGAGATGATAAAGGCCATATTGACAAGCCTAAACCAAAAAAAAAAAAAATTTCTGGGTGCACTCATCTCTTAGTGTTTTGTTCTGTGCCTTTCATCTTTGGGAAACACATAGATGTGATGTGCCCTATCCTATTGTTCATGTTGTAATCTCTGTGTGGAGCCGTTTCTTCCCTGGTAACCTGCTGTGTATTTATACCCCCATTTTAAAACCTCCCAGATGCTCACCTACAGCATATCATAAATGTACTATTACGTGGTATCAGAATTGGACTTGTGGCTTTGAAGCAAAGAAGTATTTTCCTGCATATGTTGTTGTTACTTTTGTTTTTAAAGGAGGGTTCTTGGTTTCCTGAAGAAGTTAGCAAAAAGCGAAACAGTATTTTATCACCTTCATCAAAATCTGTTGGCCAAATCAACAAGAAGAGTAGTCCTGCCCTTCCAGTGAATGTGAATCGCAGGAGTCATGACCCAGTTGAGATTCCCCGAAGGTAAAATCTATAAACTTTCCTTTCAGTTTAAAGGATTATTAGCAGTGATTACTGTGTGGGAAACAAGCAGCATAATACATTTGACAGTCCAAGGCAAGAGAAATCTCACCCTGATCAGACTAATACTGCCAAACTATGAACTATGAGAATCACTTTGTGTTTTGCCCCTTTGTTGAGGGAACATTCATTTACAACCTGTGTATGATTTAGGGGATAAGTTCACACCTCATCAGATGGATGCTACCACAGGATACCCTCCACCATCACACCCACACTGCTTTATTCTAGACCGTAGGCCCCTCCTTTGTGTTGTCACCCTGTCTAACTCTCCCACACTCAGCCTCAATTTTTCAGTCCTATGTCCTATATTTGTTGTTTTTTTTTTTCAATTTTGTCATTTGCTTTGTTTAGTGACTTTGTTGAGGAGATCTGTTGCTGTAAATACGTTGAGCTCTATTTACAGTGATCTACAAATTCAATTAATAGAAACATTCAGAATATTTTGCTTATAAGATTTTATAAATTTTATTGTTCCACCGTTTTGTTGTCCATTGAATGTCACAAAGAGGTGGTTTGAAATAAAGTAGAGTAGTACCAAAAATACTAAATAATTCTGATTGGGTATTGCAAAATACAGCCGAAGAAGAAAATGGTCTCCTCCATGGCTGTGACACTAACCTAAGTCCTACAGAACTGTCCATCCCTAATTTTTCTGTGTTCACTCTGGTGTGAGAAACAATATCAGTAATTCAATTGGAGAAAAGTGAAACTTGCGTAACAACAGCCATCCATAAAAAGAGTGAACACTTTTGCATAATGGAAATCTCTCCTTCAAAATAATTTCTTCATTTGCTTCTCGGGACTTGTATTTTCTGAGGTTAAACTCATGTATCAGGTTCCCCCCAAGCACTTCTTGTTCTTCCATCTTAGTCTGTGTTTCCTATTTCTCTTCAACTGCATCCTCCTTTTATACAAATTGAGGAGGAGCATTAACATTCAGTCCTTGATCTTCTGTCTTCTAACAAAAACATGACTGTTACTTTCTTGTATGTGCTAGTGATCCCCAACTTTATATTTGAACTGCAGACCTCTCCTGTCTCACCCGCAGCTCCCTTCAGCAGTGTCTTCAGTCTGTCTGCCTGTTCTGCTCCCTGCTCTGGCTCTGGTGAATTCTCTCAAACTCCCATGCTTCTGACCTGTACCCCAGCTCTTGTATAAATAAATAAATAAATCTTAAAAAAAAAAAAAAAGAAAAGAAAACAGGACCCAATATGCTTTTTGTCACTTCATGCAAGAGATAATGGCTTACAAGCCTGTGTATGATTTTGGTGCTAGTTTCATAGTTCATTAGATGTGTGTTACCATAAAATACCTGCTACCAAAGCACCCATAGTGCTTTACTGTAAACTTTGGGCCTCTCTCTCTTCTGTCTCATCACCTTACCTTCAAATAGATTTAATTCTCCAGTTATATTTCCAGTGTATGTTTTGGTAGTGTTTCCAATTCCTATTTTGGCTATTTGTGGAAAAGCTTATTGCAATAAATTTCTCAGTTTTCTATTCATGAATTCAATGAATAGAATCAATTCAATAAATAGACACATTCCAGAGACCTTTGCTGTTATTTGCAGGTATTATATGAATGCTTTGAATTGTTTGCCATTTAGTTGACTTTGAGTGTAAATGGATGTGACTAAAAAAAGCATTGCAATACAAAAATAGTAAATAATCATGATTGGGTATTGCAAACTACAGTCAAAGAAGAAAATGGGATCCTCCACAGTCATAGTACTAAGCTTATGAGTCATACAGAACTGTTTGCCCATCCCCTAGTTCCTCTTTTATATTCACTCTTGAACTTGCACTTTTAATTTCTCCACTTACCGCTCTTCCAAACTGCCTTTGATCAGTCACCACCAAGTGTTCATTTTATCCACACATACTTTTTACACTGATGGGCTATATTTTCTTCAGTGGAAATCTCTCTCCTCCAACATCATATCTTCATTTAACTCCAGGACTCTTTTTTAAGGGGGAGAACTCATTACTAGGTGTCTGCTGTGCACTTCTCATTCTTCCACCTCAATATGTTTGTCCAATTTCTTCAATCCCACTTCCTATTTTAGGGATTGAAGTATCCCAAAATTGGCTTTGATCTTTTGTCTCATGACTGCCACTTTTTATATATGCTAATGACCTCCCAAATTTTCATTATTCTTTAGACCTCTTGTCTTAATTCCTCACTTTATACACTGCACCTAAGTCTCCTCTTAGATCCCTTGGTGTTGGTACTCGAACCCGCAGATATTAGAAAGGCCTATTTTTTTTTTTCTATGAGTGATGCCAAATTGTGGTTCTTGGTGGAGACCTGATGAAGTAAAACTTATTTGGTCAGGACCCTGATGTCTTTCCAACAGATGGTTGTTTTAAAAGTTAATCTATTCTCACCCATGAGATATTTCTTAGAATTTTTCCATTATACCTGTTTCATACTGTTGGACTCTTGGAAAAGTCATGATACATTTTTGCTTGAAAAACACAGAGAAAATATGTCATGACTTTTCCAACAACCCAAAATTTTTCAATCAGTTGCACATTATTGCATTACAAAAGGCCAATATCACATGACACATCTTATTAGTACATTCTTGCCTAGAGTCAATAGTATTTGGCAGTGAACTTAGACACTTGTGTAGCTTTCAAGATATATCAGAATTTCTGGGTCACTCATTTCTCAGTGTTTTGATCTTACACTTTCAAGTTTTTGGGAACACATAGTTGTGATGTGCCTTATCTTTGTATGCATGTTGTAACCTCCATGTGGAATGGTTTTCTTCCCTCTGTGTCTTCTTACCTCCTCTGCAAAGCCTCCATTGTGCTCACTTTCAGCATGCCATATATGTGCTCTTAGCTATCAGATAGTATCATGATTGCATTTCTGACTTTGCAGCATGGGGTTTGTTTCCTTGCTTTTCATTTTTACTTCTTCATAAATATTTCAAAAATTAATCAATGACTAAGTTGTGGTATTTATAAAAGATGTTTTATTAGTCTTTATCAGAAGATTTCTTAATAAACATTAACTTTTACATGGTTTGTTTTTTAAAGGACGGATCCTAGCTTGCAGAAGAATGTAGTAAAGGAAAGCCAAACTGATCCCTGGTCTTCACCAGATTATGTGGGTCAAGTCAGCGAGCAGGCTGGTGCTGAACTTCCAGTGAATGTAGATGTCAGGAGATATGACTCAGATGAGAATGCCAGAAGGTAAAATCCATAATTCTCCCTCTAATTTTAAAGGAATATTAGCAGTGATTATTTGTTTGGAAATTAAGCAGCATGGTATAGTGTGCTAGGCAAAGTACGAGAAGGCTCAGTCTTTTCGGACAAATACTGCTAAAAGTGGAAAGAGGAGGTCCAGTGACATTTTCTTATTTCACTGAGGGAACATTGTTTTTCAAGCCTCTGTATGTGTGGTGGGATAGGTTCACACATCGCAAGATGTACTTTACCACAAGACACCCACCATCACAGCACTCATAGTGCTTTAGTGTAGATCTGGGCTCCCTCTCTGTTCTGTTTTCTCTGTCTCCTGTCACCGTATAGTAGCATCAGTTCTGCAGCCATATTTCCAGGGGCTGTTTTGGTTTAATTTTGCTTGTTTCATTGTTTAGTTATATTGTGGAGGAGCTGTTTTACATTAAATACTTTGCTTTGTATGAATGATTCAATGAATAGATTCATTTCCATGAATGGAAACATTTCAGAAACCTTGCTTTCTTAATTTTATAAATATTTTGAATTGGTCTGCCATGTTTACCAATTATTACCACATTGAGGTAATTAAGAAAAATTTTAGTAATAAAACGTCCTGAATAATCACTATTGGGTGTTGGAATCTACAGTAAAACAAGAAGAGAACAGGATCCTCCACTGTCATACTACTTAGCTAAGTCCTACAGCAACATCCATCCTCCTCCTTATTTTCACTTTGAATTCGCTCCAGTAAACTTCTTACCCACCCCTCCTCCAAAGTTGCTTTTTAAAGATTACTGCCAATTTTTCACATCACTGTATCCACACATACTGTTTTAGACTGATAGGCTAAGTTTTCCTTAATGGAAATCTCTTTACTGCAACATTGCTTTCATTTGATTACAGGTCTGGCATTTTCAGAGGGAGAACTCACTTACCTGTGTCCCTGATGTATTTCCTTTTCTTCTACCTCAGTCTGTGTTTCCTAGCTCTTCAACTCCACCCTACTTTTGAGTAAAATAAAAATCCCAGGATTCAGTCCTTGATCCTCTGTCACATGACTTTTATTTCCTTGTATTTATTAATGATTCCAAAATGATATTTCCACTTCAGATCTTTTTTTCTTGATTACTGAAATCAAATCCCTTGCTGGATATCATTCTTTTTGATGGACGGTTGTTGTTATGCAAGTTTCCCTTTTCTCCAATTGAATTGCTGATATTGTTTCTCACACCAGTTCTTCTGTTCATGTCTTCACTCTTGCAGAGTATCGGTTCCTTAGTGGCATCTCTTGTTCTGTCAATGTGTTGGGTGTCACTTCGGTTGTTGTCTTTCTCTTTCTTTTGCTTCTGACATTGAATCTGATGGTCAATCTTGTCAGGTTTCCCTGCCAAATATATCCCGAAGCCAATATCCTGTTACATGTTGAATCCCAAATCATCTGCTCTCTTTACTAGTGTCCGAAACTTTTATTTGGTTTCTTAGTATCTGTCTTTTTTACTCTTTAAAATCAGTGGCCTATTTTGACATAGCAAAGATTATGCTGTTCCTGTTTTGACTCCCTCTTCAGCCGCAGTACATGCCAATGTTCTTCAAATACAAAGCAACCCCTACACTTTCTGTTCCTCTTAGATCAGTTTTTGTCTCCCTGAAGTCTCTGTCTCTCACTGTCACTTGAATTTCCATATTCTAGGGGGCCTCCCTGGTGGCACAAGGGGTTGAGCACAAAACTGTAAAGCTATCTACAGCCTCTGCAGCATGATTTTGATCCCTGGCCGGTCAGGGAGGTGACCCATATGGCACAGCCACCTCTCCTGTCCAACCCGCTGCTCCCCTCAGCAGTGTATTTCAGTTAGTCTACCTGTTCTGTTCCCCACTCTATCTCTGGTGAATCCTCTCACCACCTCCCGACACCTCTGGCTTGCACCTCAGGTATTGTATGCATAAATAAATAAATCTTAGAAAAAAAGAATTTCCATATTCTGTCGCTTCCGTTGTGCTCCAACCACGTTGACCTTTTCAACATTCTGTCACCCTGAAGACATACCCCTGTACTTGCTGTTGATTCTAACTGGAATGATTTATCTTCTGATATCCTTATGATTGCTCCTTTCATTCCTTCACAAGCTACTTTCTCAGCAGTATCTGAGGGGTTGGCCATTTTGAGTCTTATTCTTATGCCTCACCTGCTTACAAACCTCCAAATTTCCTTTCCTCTACTATAGTATACTCTATACTCTAGCAGGATATATGTTTTGACATCAAGTTCATCGTCTGTTTACTTCATTTTCAAGGGTAGGATTTTGTCTGATCTCTGCTATTATTTCAGTGCCCAAACTGGGCTGGAATATTATCCCCTGAAGGCTCACTGAGTGAATGGAGTTTAACCTGTGTGTTTCATTTTACATTTTATACTAATTCTCACTTAGACTAAACAGTTTTGTGTGGGTCACTGGTGAAAGTCTACTTGTCAATTATATGCTCTTTGGGATTCCTTTGGCTCTCTGCAATATGCAGTATTTGCTCTATGCATGTTCTGCATTGTGGGGTTTAAGCTCAGTCATATATTTCCTCACTTTTAAACCTTTTACTGGTATTTATGGTATTTTATATAAGGTCAAATGGATCTGATGAGTAGAAAAACTATTTATATGCTATCACTTAAAGAAGCAACTAGTAAATTATAGGAGTTAAAAAAATTCTTGCCACAGAATTATGAACCGTCAGTGTGTAAAATTAACTTACGATGTTTGTATTGTTCCCCATGGTAGGAGAAATGTATGCTGTGTGACATGGTGTTTTTGAACACAACCACCTGTTCCTCTAAATAGGCTTTGGGGAGAATGGAAATTAAGGTCTGCAGTTCAATGATTGCTGCCCCATCTGGAATGATTGCTGAAGGCAGGGTTTTCCAGCTGTTCCTGGATGCAGCTTAAGAGTGTGTGGAGCCACGTCTTGGGCTCTGCAGGGTCCACTGCTGAGACTGGTCTGTGAGCCTGTACACACTGCAACGAAGCTGCCACCCCTCTAAGATCTCTTGGTGTATGGGACTGGAGGACTCAGCTCTCAGAAAGGCATTATGTTTTGTACATGGGTGACACCAAATTGTTGTTCTTAGAAGGGGGCCTGAAAATTGTGACTTATTTGATCATGAACCTGAAGTCAAACCAACATATAGGCATTTTCACCCCAGCCCCAGCATATTTCCTGGATTTCCTCATTCATATTGTATGTTTCTAATAGTATTTTTCCATTTACATCGTATATGGCTAATTAGTATTTCCACATCTGTGTGTCATTACTTTGAGTCAGTGAACTCTGGGTTTTAAATTTAGCATTTAGGAGTTTTCAAAATTACTGTGCTGACTTCTGTTCCAGTATTTTACGTTTTGTAATATGTTTGTTCTTCCATTTTTGTTTTTCCTGTGTCTCTTCAACCCTTCCCATTTTATTTTTATTTTACAAAAGTTGTGTTTTAAATCATCATAAGTGTTTTTTTAAAAACATTTGCTTTATTTTGTTTCTTTTTTAAAAGTAATGTTCCTGGCTTGCATAAAAATGGAATAAAGAAGAGCAAAAATGAAACATGTAATTCAGCAGTATCTGTGCCTAAAGTAAGCAGGAAGTCTGGTGCTTTGCATTCAGTGACTGGTGACAGCAGAAGACATGAATCAAGACAGAATAATGGAAGCAATGTCTATAATTTCTTCCTGTATAGGTAAAGGAATATTAGCAGTGATTACTCTTCTGGAACTCAGACTGTATGATGTAGCTTATAGGCTAACACAAGAAAAATCTTACACTTGTCAGACAAATACTGCTGAGAGGTAACAATGAGGACCAGTCAGCTTTGGGTGACTTCACTGAAGGAACATTGGTTGACAAGCCTGTGTATGATTTAGGGGACAGGTTCCCACCTCATCAGGTGGATGTTACCACACGACCCCCACCGCCAAAGCACCCAGAGTGCTTTATCCTAGACCGCTGGATTCTCATCCCTGTTACTTTGTCACCTCCTCCTCTCCTTCCCCTCTTTTAGCCTCAATTCTGTAGTCAAATTTCTAGGGCTTGTTTTGTTAGTTAGCCAGTTCCTTGGTCAGGGACTTTTGTTAGTGAAGCAAGGAGCATGTTTTCTTGCTTATGGTTGTTACTTCATCCTGGCTTTCCGAGTCAATAAATGAAGTAGGTTAGATAAGTTTTGGAATTTTTCCTTTTTTTTTTAATGTTTACAATAGATTTCCTCTAAAACAGTTTCTTATGGCTTTTTAAATAGAATTCCTGGCTTGACTAGAAAAAAGAGAAAGAAAAGCACCTATGAAATGAATATGCCAACAGAACCTCTGACAGTAACACATGAGAAGGCTGGTGTAGTATTTCCAGAGCAAGGTGACAGCAGGAGACATGAAAACCATCAGGATGTTGAAAGGTAAAATCTATAAATTCTTCCTGTCTTGATAAAGGAATATTAGCAGTGATTACTTTTTACTGAAAATAAAACAGCATAATCTGGCATACTTACTGAGGCAAGAGAAAATGAACTTTATCTGAAAGATACTCCTGAAATGCGATAGATGAGGATGAGCGATTTTTTTTTTTTTTATTGTAGCATCTCATTTACAACCCTGTCTATATTTTAGGTGATCGGTTCATATCTCTTCAGAATTATGTTACCATACATACCACCACCATGATGATTTAAAAAGGTCTCCTTTCATATAAGGACTTGAACAATACTTCTCAATTAGGTTTTAGTACCAGTGAAAGATTGTTTTTTATTGAAAATGACCACCACAAAAAACCTGAGAATATGTTTCCTATGAAATCATGTAAATAACATTGATTCTACTTTTTGTCTTTTGATAGTTAATTTGAAGTAATTTAATAATTTGTTAATATTACAGTACATTTTTGGTCTTTAATGTTATTACTCTTTTTACTTGGTGTTTAATCCCTTTTTAGGAACGTATGGGTTAGAAGATTTTATATAATAACAATAGGTTTTGATATTCTTTATAGTTGGCTATTTGCTATTTGCCTGAAAATAAATCTTTTCTTTTTATAGGCCTGTAAAGAAAACATCTAATGAGAAGAAGGTATAGTAAAGAATAAATAAGGACAAAAATTATTCTGTGGTAAAAATACATTTTAAAAGATATAAGGAAAAACTTGAAAGTCTTAAATCATTATAAAAATGTTTACTTTAAAAATAATTTATAAATAATAATCATATATAGGGCCTCCCCGGTGGCGCAGCGGTTGAGCGCTGGGTTGCGAAGCTGCCCGCGGCCTCTGCGGCGCCGGTTCGATCCCCGGCTGCTCCCCGGCCACCGAAGGAGGGTCCCACATGGTGCGCAGACCTCTCCTGCCGCCCGCTGCTCCCCTCAGCAGTGTGCTTCGGTCCTTCTGCCTGCTCTGCTCCCTGCTCTGGCTCTGGTGAATTCTCTCACCCTCCCGCACTTCTGACTGTACTCAGTGCATGTATAAACAAAACAAACAAACAAACAAATAAATAAATAAAACATGCCTCTATAAAAAAAAAAATAATAATAATAATCATATATAAAGGTATTCTTTTCATGAAAGTCAGTTCCTTTAAGGAGTACCTGTGTTTTTGCTATTATAAAAAGGTGAATATTTATCACCTCTGTACACTTAGCATATTTTCCAATAGTTACCAGACATTTTGAAATATTTTTATTTGTATGTCAAACAGGAAATCAAGCCTACAGATGATTCTGATGACATAACTCAGACATCCAAAATAGCTTCAACGGGTTGTGACTCGCTTTACTCTGATCATGAGAATTGTGTGTTGTTAATGGAACAACTTGGCATGAATTATAAAGGTAGGAGCATTGTTTAATTATAAATTCTTAATACATGTACTGTAGTGTCACATGCACACTTTGTCTAGTACTGCACTATAGAGCACAGATCTGTTCTCATGTTATTCATCTCAGAAATATGTTTATATTGAGATGAAATGAGAGCTATTGTTTACTTCCAGCCAAAGAGCTGTGAGAATCCCCATGGTACTTTTTGTTGACTATCCTCTCTCCTAGGCCTTTCCTTGAAGTCAGATTACCATTATTTCCCTCCTGGAATACTGAAATATCTTGAGATCTGTTTTCCCTGACGTTCTACCTCTGGAAAGTTTCTAGATCAGCTCTGGTTTTACAAGTATTTTCTTCCAGTCTGTGACTTGCCTTTTCATTTTCTTAACATTGTCTTTTTTTTTTAATAATCTAAATTATATTTAATAATATAACATTTTTAGTAAGTCAACAACAAACAGGCTTTAAGTCCAAGACATAGCTGTTTTGTGATAGTAACAAATGATAGAAGGAAACTTCAAAAAGACTAGAGAAAGAACAGCAAAGAAATAAGGAAGCAAGGAAGGGGAAAGAAGGGCAGTCAGACAAAAGGAGAAAGATAAATTAGATAAATGAATCATTTATTTTTTTTCTTTTTATATTTATTTTAATTTTTGTTTTTTTACTTTTGTATATTTTTACACCATTTTTCATTTTTGTACAATGTATGCATTTTCATCTTGGTTATACTCCCCGTGCAATTCCCAGCACACTTGTTTTGATCCTACTCCTTTCTCCCCCTCCCTGTAGTGTGCCTCTGCTTTATAGTTGCTTGTTGATTTTGATTTTTACTTTATTGTAATTAGTCTTTTTCCTGATCCCTTATTTAAGTTTTCTAAATTATTGCTATGAGTGAGACCACCTGGTATCTTTCTTTTTCTTTCTGGCTTATTTTGCTGAGCATGATCCCTTCCTGCTCCATCCATGTTACTGAAAATTACATGAGTTTATCTTTTTGATTGCTGAGTAATATTCCATTGTGTATATGTACCACAGCTCCTTGATCCAGTCATCTATTTTTGGGCATTTGGGTTGTTTCCATAGCTTAGCTATTCTAAATAGTGCTGCTATAAACATAGGGGTGCAGGTGCCCTTTTGAATTAATGTTTCTGTGTCTTTTGGGAACATATCTTAGTAGTGGAATTGCTGGATCATATGGAAGCTCCATCTTAGCAGATTGAGGAATCTCCACGCAGCTCTCCATAGTGGTTGGACCATTTTGCACACCCACCAGCAGTGGAGGAGTGTTCCTTTTTCTCCACATCCTTGCCAACATTTGTTGTTGCTAGTTTTTTTTAATATATGCCATTCTCACTGGTGTGAGATGGTATCACATTGTAGTTTTGATTTGCATTTCCCTGATTACAAGTGATGTTGAACAATTTTTCATATGCCTGGCCATTTGCATTTCTTCTTTGGAGAAGTTTCTTTTTAGCTCTTCTGCCCATGTTTTGACTCGGTTGTTTACTTTGTTTTTGTTGAGTCTCATCAGTGCTTTGTAGATTTTTCTGATCAGTCCTTTATTATTAGTGTTGTATGCAAAAATTTTCTCCCAGTTAGTGGGGTGTCTCTTTGTCTTGGTTACTGTCTCTTTTGCTATACAGAAGCTCTTTAATTTGATGTAGTCCCAGCTGTTTATCTTTGCCTTCACTATCACTGCTTTGGGTGATGTGTGTTTAAAGATATTACTGAGGTAAATGTCATGTAGTTTTTTACCTATATTTCATTCTATTTATTTTATAGTCTCAGGTCTTATGTCTAGCTCTTTAATCCATTTTGAGTTGGTTTTTGTGCATGGCATGAGGTAGTAGTCAAGCTTCATTCTTTTGCATGTAGTGACCCAGTATTCCCAGCACCATTTATTGAATAATCTTTCTTTGTTCCATTGCATATTCTTTGCTCCTTTGTCAAAGATTAGTTGACTGTAAATCTGTTGGTTTATTTTTGAATTTTCTATTTGGTTCCATTGGTCTGTGTGTCTGTTCTGGTTCCAATACCATGCAGTTTTGATTATTATGGCTTTGTAGTATAGCTTGAAGTATGGGAGTGTGATACCACCATCCCCCCCCCTTTTATTTTTCCCAGGAGACCTTTGGCTATTCTGGGTTTTTGGTGGCTCCATATGAATTTCATCAATATTTGTTCTATTTCTTTGAAGAATGTCATTGAAATTTTTTTTGGAATAGCATTGAATCTGTAAATTGCTTTTGGTAGGATGGCTGTTTTGATAATATCTGCATATTAAATCACTATCCATTTTTGTATGTTGATTTTGAACTTGCTACTTTGCTATATTCATTTATTGTTTCTAGAACTTTTTGATAGAGTCTTTGGGATTTTCTAAATATAATATATCATCTGTAAGTAGTGATAGTTTCACTTCTTTCCAACTTGAACCCCCTTTGTTTCTTGATTTTGTCTGATATTTCTGACCAAAACCTCTAGTACTAAGTTAAAAAGAAGGGGCGACAGTAGGCATCTTGCTTTGTTCCCATAATGGAAAAGTTATAATGGAAAAGTTATCAGTTTTTCACCATTGAATATAATGTTGGTTGTTAGTTTGTGATATATAGCCTTTATTATATTGAGGTAGATTCCTCCATCCCCATTTTGGTTAGAGTTACTATCATAAAAGGATGCTTGCTCCATGCATTCTGTAGCTAGTGTTAAGTTCATAAACGTAGAGGATTATTATCCTTCCTATAGATTAACCCTTCTGTTATGAAATTATCTGGTTGATTGCTGATTATAGTCTGTGCTCTGAAAACTGCTTTGTCTGCTATTAGCATAACGACATCAGCTCAGCTTCCTTTTTTTGTCAGGGATTAGTGTATGTATTTTTTCCATGTTTTTAACTAATGTGTGCCTTTATTTTCAACGTGCATTTCTTGTAGGTGACATTTAGTTGGACTTGCTTTTTGATTCAGTTTGATCATATGCCTTTACATTGAAGTTTTCATATCATTTTCTTTTAAAGTAATTGTCAATATATACAGTGAGGTTTAATCTGTTATCATGCTGATTGATTTCTGTTTGCCTCACCTGCTCTTTGTTCCCCTTCTTTTGTTTCCTTCTAGAATATCAAGTGATTTGTATGACTTACTTTATTTCTTTATATTAGATAATTAGCTATAACTCCTTTGTTTCACTCTTTTAGTGGTGGTTGTAGCATTTATAGCATATGACTAACTTACCACATTCAAGTAATACTATACAATATCATATATAGTATGACAAAATTACAGCAGTTTACTTTTCTCATGTCCTACACAGATACTACCTGGGCCTGTGGAACTATAGTTTTCATTAAGTTTAGAAGTTTGTGGTCATTTTTTTCAAAATACTTTTTTCCTTTCCCCTAACTCTTTGGAGAATTGTATCATGGCCATTTAAAATTTTCTCACAGTTCACCAAGGTCATCCTTACTAGTCTTTTGTGTGTGTATGTGTGTGATGTATAATATGTTTATTCCCAACCAGTATATTTGTCATCTCTGAGATTATATTTTTCATTTCTACAAGTGCTATTTATTTGAGGAAAAAAATAGCTTCCATGACTCTACTCTTCTATTTTTTTGTTATTATTCTTATTATTTTTTAGTTAAGTGACTTATAAACAGTTTGATCCTTCATGGTCTTGCTCTTTTTATCTGTTGGGTGAATGCCCGAAGGCTAATTATTTCCCAATACCAAGGCAAGACCTTTCTCACTGCTCTATTCATTATCCTGTTAATTATGAATTTTTCCAAACTAGTTAAAGGAAGCACCACTAATCCGGTGGAGTTTATTCTTTTCAGTTTTTTCTTCTCCACAGTCTCAGGTGGCTTCTTCATATGAATTTACCGCCAGTTACTCTCTTGAATACTCTAGAAGGCCCCTCTGTAGATCTTCAGGGCTCTTTCTTGATTCTGCTCTTTTCTCTTCAGTGATCTGACCTGTGATCTCTATCATATTCTTGGTTTCACCAGACTCCCAATTTCATCACCTCACCTAAGAGTATCTGGTAGACTTCACCTTAGTACCTTCTCCCTGTGTCATGATCTGGAAATTATCTTAAGCTAGTGAGCTGTTGGGGCATTGTCTTTTATTACTTGATGTTCTTTGTCTTGAAAATCATTATTTTTTTATTGTATTTTTTTTCTATTTTGCTTTTGCTTGTTTCAGGTAGGAAGGTAAATTGGTACCGGTTACTTCCTCTTGGCTAGAAGCAGATTGCAATAAAACTTCAGCACATGATGTCCCCTACCTAGAGTGGCTTTCTTTCTCCTTTGCTTCCTGCTCCTCCTTCATTCCTCAGGGCAACAGTCTGTTCCTCAGGGACCTCTTCCCTGGGCCTAATCTAGATCAGGTATTGTCATGTGAGCATAGAATTTTGTTTTCTTGTAGTATCTGTATGAATTTAGACTTTACGCTAAATTTTACCTGTCCCTTAAGCTAAATAAGAGCCAGTGTTCCCATCTGTTCTATCTACAGAGTTTAGTATATTTTTCTACTTTTTAGATACCCAGTATGTATCTGTTTAAGGTATGGATGAGTGATTGAGAAAATGTACCACCCTTTATATGCAAAAAAAGTACTTATATATTTGTTTTTCTCTTGTGTTTTCTCCCTGATTCAGTTTTTACTAACGTATCAAACGTATCAAAATCCCAAGACTTAATTTGTCCACATAAAAGATTATGTGAAATTAAAAATAATCACTGTGAACTACTTAAGGAAAAATATAGAAAAATAAAAGCTGAGAATTGTGCACTAAAAAAGGAGATATTAGAAACAAAAGACATAAACTCACAGCTAAAGCAGCAAAATTTGAAACAAGAATACTGCTGGTGCAATTTGAGGTATTGAGCTTTGTGGTTTTAAAGAGATATTTCAACTATTTCGTTAAAAAATACAAATACATAAGAGAAGTTTTGTAATTGCTAACTTGCCTTCTAGGATTTTACAGAGTAGAAACCTTCTTTATTTAGTGCTGTGGAATATAAAATTCTTGGAAGTAGTATAGCAAGTTTTTGATAGTGAATACTTTTGCTAATAATTTACTGTATAGTCTTCCAAATCATACTTTCAATGACCCTATAGAAGTATACCATATGGAATACTGTATTGTAACTATTGCTGCAAGGATTTCCTTTTGTATCAATCTGTATACTGAAGAAAAAAAAATCTTTAGTATAGTATTTGGCTGAAGTGCAGCAATGCTAAAATGTCTCTGATCTATATTTCTAAATTGTTTTCACGAGAGTTCATATGAATTTCCATTTCCAACAACACACATGAAATGGCAACTTTTCTGAAGACAGAAGATGTCTTTAAAAATGTATGGTTCATGGGCGATGTGGTGGTGGGAGATTTATGGAGACTACATATGATCAGGGAAATCAAATATTCTCTAAAGATAATCAATAATGTTAAAAAGTAAAAAAGATTAATAAATAAAAATAAAATTACCACAAACAAAAAAATTATGCAGTTTTATTCTTAACCTATGCATGGAATAAAAAGAAAAGTGGAAAGTGATTACTGAATAATGTATTCAACAATTCTCTCCTACTATATCAAATTATTTCAAGGTCTGTGCTAAAAGCACATATTACTTTTTATTATACTTAGTGAATATGGGTTGTCTTGTTCCAAAAGGAGTATGAAAATGATTTCTAAAATACCTAGTGATCAACAAGCTCAGTGGAAAGTGTTGCAAAAGAAGAAACACAAAAAGAGTAGAGCAACACTTAACAGACTCACTCATCTAGTCTTGGATTATAGTGCTCTACAAATGGATATTGCGTGCAAGAATTCTGAAGATGCTGTCTTACACTGTAAATCATTTGTAGTAGTAGCTGAAATATTTTGTGAAGTTGAAATTTTGTTCTAGTGTGTTTGTAAGCTTGTTTAAAAAACAAAAACTTTCCTTTTAAATTTGTAACTAAACTATTCAAAGAGAGTACCAATAACTATGTGGAGCAAAAAGGTTACCTTAACCCTAACGGTACTGTATCATTTCAAAATTTTTTCTCTCTGAAATACTTCCTAAAGTCATACATACCTTTAATATGCTGACTTTATATTGGAACACTTAGGGATCGGCTGCGAAGCGAAGAAGAGCACTACAGGAGTGGCGTTCAAGTGAAGCAGCAGCTGGAGTCCACACTGTCATCAGTAGCTGTGGAACTGAGAGCTCTAAGAAGTGATTTAATGAAGGCAAGTTCCTCCCTGGCAAACTTTTAATATTTCTAACACTTTAATCAAAACTAGTTACAATATCCCATTAATTTGATGTCTGTTGTTCAGGTTGAAACATTCTAGTCAGATGCCTACGATTGACAATGGTCCAATCAGGCTTGTTGAGGGGGGTGCCTCGAAGGAGATACCAGGCAGAGCAAGAGCCAGCTGGAGTCAGTGTGCAGCCATCCTCTGAAGAGTGAAGGAATCATTGAACCACCTCTGAAGAAGCATTCTGCTGCAAGCTTCAGAAGAAAGAAGGATTCATACTGCTGTTGAAGAGAAAGCTTTCATCAAACCATTTTTGAAGAAGAAAGATTCTGCTCCCAGACTCTGAAGAGAGAGATGCATCAAGCAGTCCATCTCCATGGGACTCACCAGACCTCTGTAGAATGTAAACCTTGTAGACTTTAGACCTCCACACATCCATAGACCTCCTCAGAGACCGCTGCTGCCTCTGCCTCAAGCTGGCTCTTGTTCTGCCTTGTATCCCCTTCAGGGGCCTCCACCGTATAAGCCTGATTAGGCCATTTTCAATCCTAAGCACCTGACTGGACCATTTATCACTAATCAGCTCATTTTTCATTCTGAATAATTAATGAAGTAGACTGGAACTTGATTGGTCTTAACTCCCTCCTGATTGGTCCATTTTGCTCACACCTGATTGGTTCAATTTTGACTCCTAGAACCTGAAACTGAAGGGGGAAAAGTCCAGTCTGATCTGCACTCAGGTCAGGTCAGGCTCGTGGGCTTGTTGGTTCCAGAGAGGCATGGCCAGAGCTAGCCTAACTGGGGTCTGGGAGGGTACCATCCACGGGCAGTGGGCTGAAGCCCCCACAAGTTACCCCAACACAATCACCTTGCCCTGAAGCCTCTGAGGGCTTCAAGGATCCCGTTACAAGACTGCAGATTGAAGCTAAGATCTGTGGTGGTCTCACAGTCTGCAGAGGTCTTGAAAGTGTTGAAGACTATGGAGGTATCAGTGGTCCCTGCAACATTCTACAGAGAGCTGTGGAGTTCTCTGTGAAGGTCTGTGGAAGTCTTGAAGTCCCGATAAATCTGTCTGTGAAGGGTCTGATGAATGGATCTGCTCAGTGCATCAAGTCAGTTGTTGTGCAGGCTTTTATCCTCATCAGGGTCCCCACCTTTCAAACCCCACCTGATTGGCCCATTTAGAATCTTCAATGGGCTCAAAAAATCCTGGAATGGAATTGGTAAGACTGGTCCATTGAGAGCTTAAACATGATTGGTCCACCTCAATCTCAGTGTCATATTCAAAAAGTGCAACTGTGGCTGCTTGTCCAGACCTGACAAGCAAGCTCATTGGTGGTGGGCTCTGCAGAACCAGCTTTAGTGGGGCTGGAGGTTTGATGAGTTAGCATGCTTCAGTGGGGCTGGTGAGGTCGTGCATGTGGCTCTGCAGAAGAACTGTTTGATGAGTCTGAGCTGTTGGAGAGCTGGCCACTGCTCAGAGCCTGCCGTGATGGCCATGTGCACAGTCTGTAGGCCTCTTTCCCTCCAGCTCACTCTGGGCCTGGGCGAGCCTCACTGCCAGAGCCCCAGGACCAGCTGGTGAGGGGTAGAGCAAGGAAACCACCATTGCCACTGCAGTTGGGGCCTGCCAGGCTGGGGGCTGAGGGAGCATGGATGAGGTGTAGAGTGGGGAAAGGGCTGCCCCCATGTGGCAGCATGCTGAGGCAGAAAGCCCCCAAACCAGCATGCCTTATGGCATTTAGGTGCCATGGGGCTCCTGTATTCAATCCTCCTTATACAGTTTGCTAAGATTTTTATTGGGAATTTTTGCATCTATGTTCATCAGAAGTATTGTCAGACACAATACTTTGGATGTATCTTTTCTAGTTTTGAGAAAAGTAACTTTTTTTTTTCTCTTTAATAGCAACTATGTCCATATAAGGAGTTTTAGAAATGATATGCCATAATATATACTCAGTGACAATTTATCAATAATTATGTTATTTCCACAAATTCTGCAGTGGTTTTCTATTTCACATTTATTACTATTTTAAACATTTTGAAGAAGAAATAAAACTAATTGCACCAGGGAATAATCTCATGATTTTTAAAGAGAGCATATAAATTTCACCTTACTTACCTTTAGTGCTTTGAAACAGAAGACTTCTTTTGTATCAATATATTTACTCCAAGGAAGCAGATGCAGTTTGGTACACTAGCGCTAGTAGAGTCAGAAGACCTGGGGAAATCCTGTAGTTTGCCTGTATTTTTAACTTCTCCCTTCCTGAGTTGACATCTAAATGAGTTCATTCATATGTGTAGCTTAGAACTTCAGGCATACTACCATGCCTGGGTTTACCAGTTAACAATAGATTGAATCCTTATAACTGACCTTAAAAATGCTAGAAAAGTACAATATAAATGGAAGCCCAGGGAAAAAGAAAACTTTCAGGAAAATTAATCAGTCCAAAGATATACACTAATCTTTTATGCCTTCTGCATTTGTGTAATTCATAGCTAGTCTCTTTCCCATTCTGAGATTCTTAATTTTCTCATGTTTCCTTTTTATCGTCGTGGACTCAGTCTTCAGGTAATTCCTGAACTTTGGGGCAGTTATGCTTATGTAAATTCTGATGTCCAACTGATTTTTTGTTGGATAGGCTCAGTTGCTATCTTTACATTTATAAGCATATCATTTGCTTTTTAATTTCAGAGAAATTGTAATTTCATTGACTGCTAACAAAATCTGTATTTTACTTAGGCTTCTGAGAGAAATGAAAGAGAGAAAGATCGAGTACATAAAAGCCACACTTTGCAGGATGAAATCAGTATGCTGAAACTGGAAATAAATACAATGAAAAATCAAAACCAGGAAAAAGAAAAGACCATTGAAATTATAAAAGAAATGAATGATTTTCTGCGAAAAACAATACGACAGAGTGAGGAAGGACTTGCAAAAACAATATCCCAACATTGTGAACAACTTCTTGTTCTAAAGAGTGAAAATAACTCGCTGAGCACTCAACTGGAACATGAAAAACAAAAATCAGAAACGCTGAAAGCAGAAGTTGAATCCTGCCGTCGTAGACTGGATGCTGATGTACAAGATCGTGGTCAAGGTCACAAGTCTGAGAGAGACCTAGAACATCATTTCCAAGAGACAAGAGAGGAGCGGCTACATTTAGAGGAGACATTATCTCAACTACAGAGGGAAAACATGTTGCTTCAACAGCACCTGAATGAGGCTCACAACAAAGCTGACAATAAAGAGGAGACAGTAATGAATATGCGAGGCCAGTTTCAGGACACTATAAGAAGGCTTCGAACTGAAAATGAGAAACAAAACGAAACAAACGATGAGTTAATTGATGAATGTAATTGTTTTAAAAAAAGAATATATAATTATGAAAAGAAGAAAGCGGCAAGAGAAGTAAGTATTCTATTCAGAAATATATTTTTCAAGCTTCCTGAAGGAAAACTCAAAGTAATAATTGGTTAGGGCTAAAGATTGACTCTAGTGAATGTGAGAAATATATAGATTCTAATCATATTTGCTTTGTCAGCTTAGAACCATCTATTGTGTCCAGTAAATAAAAATTAGGCCTGAGAGGTGCATTACACTATGTAAAGACGTAGAGTCACCTATGAAATTTTAAAAGGGCAAATAATAAGTTGTCAATAGGTACAGACTGATATTAATAACTTAGTCATACTGCTAAAATAAAAATATGAATCTTTAAACCCCAATTTTGTACTATGATGAGGCAGCTAGGTAAAAGTGCTCAATACCTAAAATGAATATTTTGGAATTAATAGTCAAGTAAGTGTATTACCTTGACAGTCAACTCCAGATTTTCCAGATGAACTAAAATGTAGAGGCTGCATCTCATAGAACTTTTCTTTCAGGAGACTTTACTATTTTTTTTTTTAGTTATTTTAGATAACAGTTGATATAGCTTTATTTTTACTCATGTCAGTTTGAATTGAATTTGAAAATATTTTGGTCTCCAATTATGTGTTCTAAAGACCTGCTCAGCACTTTAAAGGCATCTATTTTTCATGAAATTATAATTTGAGACAAATGTTGGTTTCAGCAAAATTCTGATTTAATCTTCTTACTGTGATTTATACTTTACTTTGAACACTTTTATAAATAATTTTCTCACAATTCTCATTTCAAGGCTCAATTATTATCATTTGGACCTAGATTATCCAACACTAACAGAATTGGATATCTCTGTGATGTGTTACTTTGGCCTTAGACCCTCATTTTCAGACAAATGAGGGGTGGCAGGATGCATGTGTAGCGGGCAGGGAGTGAGGAGGGAAAATTTGTAAGGGTTGAGGTCAGGAAGGTAGGTGGAGGCAGAGTCCTTAGGGTCTTGAAGGCCATTGGAATGATTTCACTTTTATTCTGAGACAGAAGGATTTGAGCCGAGAATTGAAGTTAATGTAAGGATCTAATACAGAGAGGGAAAATGTTCCCCAGTGTGAAATTTGCCACCACTAGTCTTGCCTCCATCTCCACTTCCCTTTGAGACTTTCAGGGGATTGTCAAGTTTTGCAAATTGGTCAGGGAAGAATGGTTAAGGGGTTGAATCTGTTGTCTAAGCTACATAGCAGTTTAGGCAAGAGGATAACAACTTCTCTTTCTTCAACTGAATTCAGTAAACAGGAAGTTGTATGTTAAAGAAGGTCAATGGATGATATTTTTCAAAGTACATATGTTAGCATTGTATATTATTAACATAATAATGTGATATTGATATAAAATCAGGAACAGAAATATCTTATTTAGGTAGCTATGAGAAAATATGATGATTTAAAAGTAGTACCATGCTCTTAGGCTATTCTTAATTTATATTTTTCAATTACCAACTTTTAAAAGGGATTTTGTTATTTGGACTATCAGATTACATGAGTACAGATACTGGAATGATTCAATTTTATTTTTATAATTCACAATAAACTTAGTTGATATTGATAGTTTTAAACTAACTTTCTCACATTTGAATTTTTTTTTTAATTTTCAAATTTTAAATTAATGTTTGCTTCGAAGAACTGGAGTGTAGGGCAGAGGTGCAATTGGACGGGGCGGGCAGGGGGGTGATGGTTTAAGAGGACATTTAACAGAGTTGGGAGCAGAACAGGTGGATTTACTGAAATACATTGCTAAGGGGAACAGCAGGTGAGACAGGTAAGGTCTGTTGGGGCATGTGTGGGTTATCTTCCTGGCCGGGGATCGAACTCAGGTCACAGTGATAGCACTGAGACTTAACCCCTAGGCCACCAGGGAGGCCCTTCATGGTTGAAATTGCTCTCTGAATCACTGACTCAGAAAGATACCTGTATAATTATCCAGATTATAAGCATTAAAATGTATTTTAATTTTCTTTAGGCACAAATAACACCTCAAGACAATTTGAAACTGTTCAGAGGTACTCAGACTACTTCAATAAGTCAAATGGAAGTCAGATATAAAAATTTGGAAACTGAAAATTGCAGACTGCAAACTGAATTAGAGTCACAGAGAATAAAATTGGGAAAATACATGCAGCTCTACCTAGAAGAATCAAAAATGAGACAATCATTGCAAAATAACGTAAACACGTAAGCTGAAAAAACAGGAATCATAGAAAATAAACTTAGTTCATTTATTTACCTCTAAAGCATAATTGTTATAGATCCAGGTTCATGTAATTAGTAAGAAGTCATTATTTGGAAAATAATGTTAATAAGTGAATATTTTTTTTAAGATTCATTTTTTATTTATGCATACAAGAGCTGGGGCACAGGCCAGCGATGTGGGGGTGAGAAGATCCACCAGAGACAGAGTGGGGAACAGAACAGGCAGAAAGAATGAAATACACTGTTAAGGGGAGCTGGGGGCTAGTCAGGAGAGGTCTAATGTGCCATGTGGGTTTCTCCCTGGCCAGCTGGGGATCAAACCCATGCCTCAGAGGCTGTCGGTTGCTTCACAGTGCGATGCCCAAGCCCTTGCGCCACCAGGGAGGCCCAGTGAATATATCTTTAAAATGTTATTCCAGGACAGTTTGAATCTCCTCTCTTTTTTGTTTTTTGTTAAAGACTGATTTATTTATTTATACAATCACTGGGTATAGTCAGAAGCGCAGGACGGTAAGAGAATTCACCAGAGCCAGAGGGGAGAGCAGAGTAGGCAGACAGACGAAATACACTGCTGAGGGGAGCAGCGGGCAGCAGGAGAGGTCTTCGCACCATGTGGGACCCTAGCCTGGCAGCTGGGGATCAAAGCAGCGCTGCAGAGGCTGAGGGCAGCTTCACAACCCAGCGCTCAACCACTGCGCTACCGCGGGGGAACTGAATCTCCTCTCTTTTGTTGATTTTACATGACTTAATTTTTAGCCCTAAATAATTTCATCTAGTTAACCTGATCGAATAGACTTTAAGATAAGGATATTTGAAACTTTGTAACTTAGTGTTATTGTTATAAAATTGCTTGTCATAATTCCCCCAGTAGAAATATTAATGAGTTTATTTTTTTTTGAAGATTACAATTTCAATTCAAGTGGTCTTCAAGTATCACTACACTTAGCACAGTTTGGCTACTGGTGAATTAATTTTCTTGACATGGTCTCTGACACTATTGCTGGAGGGCACCCTGAGACAAACTGTCCTTCACAGTTTTAGATTTTCTGCTCTCCAGAAAGGCCTACAAGTGAAATGAGGAAAGCTGCAGGAGGTGAAGGGTAGTATCATTCACAGACTGACTACAAATAAATATTGGGTTCTGCTTCTGCTTGAGAAGGTGTGTGGAAGCCCACATGGGTAGATCTTAACACCAGTGCCTTTGTAACAGTGTTAGGGGCTTTCTTTTCCCTGGAGCTATTAAGTTCTCTTTAGTCACGCACCAGGCACCTCTCCTGTTCTCCCCTAGAAGTTGTTGCTCCAAGTAAATCTTCAGTGCCAAAGGTTTAACTCTCAGAGGTACTGAGTGAAATGTGTAAGGATAGTGAAAGGAAATGCTTGACATTATCCCTGAAGCCGCCTCCATCACTGCCCGCCCTCCCTGCTTTGAATTACTTATTAGGAACCTTCCCAGAAACATGGGCTTCTTTACCACAATTTTAAACCCCTAATTATAAACAGTAAGTATGCGCCAACACATTTTGAGTGTTAAAACATTGTTTTATGGGAAATTCATGTTATGGCAACATTTGTTTTTAAAGTGCAAATTATTCAGGCCAAAATGAAATATTAAGGATTTGGGTTTGGCAGTCTTCACAGGACCATTGAGAAGCTAACAGAAGTCAATACTGAACGTCTTATGGGGGAAACACATCCCGAACATGTATTCAACGCTCCTCCTCTGAGGCCATGCCTACCGCTATCTTCTGCAACAAGCCCACTCAATAGTCCTAATAATCGTTTCATGCTTGATAGTTATCTTACTAGACAAAATTCAACAACTTTTCCTACCTTCAACCCACGACCTTAAAATGAAAGCATAGACACTTAACTATGACAAGGTTAGTTATATTACCTTTCTTTTTTTTAAGATTTATTTATTTATTTATACAAGCACTGGGTACAGTCAGAAGTGTGGGAAGGTGAGAGAATTCACCAGAGCCAGAGAAGGGAACAAAACAGGCAGACTGACGAAATACACTGCTGAGGGGAGCAGCAGGTGCGGCAGGAGAGGTCTGTCATGCCATGTGGGACCCTCGTCGGTGGCGGGTGATTTAATCAGTGCTGCAGAGGCTGTGGGCAGCTTCACAGCCCAGTGCTCAACCACTGTGCCACTGGGGAGGCCCTACATTACTTTTTGACAAATTTTATATCACCTTGGGTTTCAAATTTCTGATGCGATATTCATTTATACTTTGACAAAATTCTTAGTCATTCACTAACTTATTTATACATGCTAAGTAAATGTCAGTTACTTGTGCTAATAAAGTAGACAGAAAATTTAAAATTATAAGTCCCTGGCTCTCGCATTTTCAGAATCACTGATATAATTGAATTAGATGTAACTAAATCAACACATTTAAAATTTCTTGAAAATCTGTGTTTAATCAGATGTTAGAAATTAAATATTATTGCTTGATAACCAGAAGTATACTTTGAGATACTTTGGCTTACTTTATGATTGATTTCAGTTTGACTGTGGTTCATAAGAATTTTAAAGTTTCTCTGTACATTACCTGCCTCATTTTTCCACCATGTGCTAAGTTTATGACTGACATCCAAACAGATGTTTATCATTTACAGTAACTCCTCTTTATGAATTAAGCATAAATTAATTACTAAAAATTAATTTCCATTGTCACTATCTTATATACCCTGCTGAGGGGAGCAGATGGTGAGTCAGGAGAGGTTTGCCGCAACATGTGGGTAGCTCCCTGGCTGGGGTTCAAACTCATGCTGCAGTGGCTGCAGATAGCTTCATAGGTTGCATCTTAACTCCTTATGCCAACCAGGGAAGCCCTGACAAAGTATTTTCGATAAAGAATGCAATTCTTTGTTTTTCTTTCCAGCTGCTGCTGAAGTTGAATCTGGATCATATTGAGCTTTTGTAGGAATTTACAGATACATCTCATGAAATCAAGATGCACTTTTGAGGTCAAGGACCAGGAAAATGCATGCCACACAACTTCCAGAGCAAAGGGAATATATAAAGTGAAGGGTGAAGAACTAGGCCAATAATTTAATAAACCATAGATATGAAGATGGCAGCGCCAATTGAAACAGACACTTTGGTCACTTCGTGAATCTTCTGAGCCCTACAGAATTCCATTAAGAAGAGTCAGCTCTCAAGTCTTCTCTCTAGAAGGTGAGATAGGAATTTGGTCTGTCCTTTTCAATCAAATGTTCTATCCCAAATCAGCCATGACTCTCCAAAATCTTAATAAGAATCCTATATAAGCGGGAACCCACTGCCAGTGCTGACCAGGCGTGCAGGAAGTGCGTCCATGCATTGCCACTTTAGAACAGGGACATTTCTTCAGTAAAGACTGCTTGAAACCGGGAGAAGGCTTCCAGAGGAGCCAGAGGTGAGCTGGGAAGTTCGCCCAAACCAGGCCCCTTCTGGCCTGCAGTCCAAGCCCAGAGGGGGAGCGGGAACCCACCGCCAGGGCAGACAGGGCGCGCAGGGAGTATGTCCCCGCATCGCCACTTTAGAAAAGGGATGTTTCTTCAGTAAAAATTGCTTGAAACCGGCAGAGGGCTTCTGGAGGAACCAGAGGTGAGCTGGGAAGTTCGCCCATGCCAGGCCCCTTCTGTCCTGCAGTCCCAGCCCAGAGGGGCAGCAGAGGAGTGTGAACCCACATTGCCTTTTTAGAACAGGGACCTTTCTTCAGTAAAACCTGCTTGAAACCGGCAGATGGCTCTTCGAAGAGCCAGAGGTGAGCTGGGAAGTTCGCCCAAGATGCTGGCCAAGTATCAGCAACACAGTATCCCAATGCATACAGCAAATTAGAAAACAGACAGTAGGGCCTCCCTGGTGGCGCAGTGGTTGAGCGCTGGGTTGTGAAGCTGCCCGTGGCCTCTGCGGCACTGGTTCAATCCCCGGCTGCTCCCCACCCACTGGAGGAGGGTACCACATGGCGCACAGACCTCTCCTGCCGCCTGCTGCTCCCCTCAGCAGTGTACTTCAGTTTCTGCCTGCTCTGCTCCCTGCTCTGGCTCTGGTGAATTCTCTCACCCTCCCGCGCTTCTGACTGTACCCAGTGCTTGATAAACAAACAAACAAACAAACAAATAAATAAAACATGCCTTTGAAAAAAAAAAAAAGGAAAACAGACAGTAGGGAGTAGAAAAACCCCACGCAACCCATCAACTCCTCAGGAAAAAGCACACCACAAAAAGAAAACCACCCCCAGATTACAACGACCGTAACTTGGAAGAACTTCTGAGTCTTCCAGAAAGAGAATTTAAAATTGCCATGATTAAAAAAACTGACAGAAATCATAAAGGAAAACAATGATAAGGGAAAAATGATCAATGATCAGAAGAATGAAATTGAGTCCCTAGAGAGGGAAGTAAAAGAAATGCAGATCAAAGAATTAATGGAGGTGCTAAAGAACTGGAAAAACAATGAAAGCAGAATAGATGAAATGGAAGAACGAATATGTACTCTTGAAGACACAGAAATAAAAAGAACCAAAACAGAAAAGGAAAGAGAAGAACAAAGGAAAAAGACCAAAGAGAGACTTCAGGAACTATCTGACTCCATGAGGAAAGGAAATATAAGAGTTATAGGAATCCCAGAAGGAGAGGAGATAGATGTAGGAACAGAGAAAATATTCCAGGAGATAATTGAAGAGAACTTCCCAAACATGAAGAAGGAGCTGAAAATTGATATACAAGAAGCAAGAAGAACACCAAACTTCTACGACGAAAGGAAAAATACAGCAAGACACATAATAGTAAAGCTCCCAAGAACCCAGGACAAGGAAAAAATAATGAAGCAGACAAGAGGGAAGAAACAGGTAACATTCAAAGGAAAACCAATCAGACTGACATCAGACTTCTCCAAAGAAACACTACGGGCAAGGAGGGAGTGGAGGGATAGTCAATAGACTCCAAGAAAACAGATGCCAACCAAGAATACTCTATCATGCAAAGCTCTCCTTCCTCTGTGAAGAAAGAATAAGGACCGTCCCAGACAAACAGAAACTCTGGAATTTCATTACGACTAAACCCCCACTCCAAAAAATACTACAAGGTATCCTAAAGCCAGAACCTCAGAGAGATGAATAACAACTAAAGAAGGCCAAAAAAATAGTTATTAAAAGAATAAATAAAATCAAAGGAAAGACAAACACAATGGCAAATACAGATGCTAACATCATTATTAACTCTAAATGTAAATGGACTAAACTCTTTAATAAAAAGACACAGAGTTGCAGGCTGGATTAAGAAACAAAATCCAACCTTTGCTGTCTCCAGGAAACACATTTAGCTACAAAAGATAAAAATAGACTCAAAGTTAAAGGATAGAAAACAATCCTACAAGCATATGGACCAAAAAAGTAAGCAGGAACAGCTATACTTTTATCAGATAAAACAGATTTCAAACTCAAAAAGATAAAAAGAGACCCTAATGGTCACTACATTATAATCAAGGGGACAATACTTAAAGAAGAAATAACACTCATTAACATATACTCACCATACGAAGGAGCACCAAAATATATTAGACAACTATTGTCATCTCTGAAAACAGACATCAGAGAAAACACATATGTAGTGGGGGACTTTAACACACCACTATCAACAATGGATAGATCAATAAGACAAAAAATAAGTAAAGACACTAAAGCTCTAAATAAGGATCTAGAGCGCTTGGGCTTAACAGACATCTATAGAACACTAAATCCAAAAAAATCTGAGTACATATATTTCTCAAGCTCACACGGATCATTCTCCAGGATCGATCACATCCTGGGACACAATACAAACATCAACAGATACACCAAGATTGAAATCATTCTAACCATCTTTTCTGGCCATGAAGGCATCAAACTAGAAATAAACCATAAAAAGAAGGCAAGGAACTCTCCTACCTCATGGAGATTGAAAACCACACTTCTGGAAGACCACTGGACTAACGAGGAGATCAAAGAAGAAATTAAAAAATTCTTTGAGTTGAATGACAAAGAGGACACCAATTTCCTAAATGTATGGGATGCAGCAAAAGCAGTAATAAGAGGAAAATATATAGCAATAGAGGCTCACATCAAGAAATAAGAAAGAACTCAAAGAAACAACTTAATCTCGAAGCTCAAAGATCTAGAAAAGGAACAATAAAAAAAAAAAAACCCAAAACCAGTAGAAGAAAAGAAATAATAAAAACCGAAGCAGAAATAAATGAAATTGAAACTAAAAAAACAATCCAAAAGATCAATGAAACCAAGAGCTGGTTCTTCAAAAAATCAATAAAATAGACAAACCCCTAGCCAAGGAAAAAAGGGAGAAAGCACAAATAAACAGGATCTTTCATTTATGATCCTATTTATCTGTGCTTTCTCCCAACGGACACAGCAGAATTCAAATATTTCAGTAACTACTATGAACAGTTATATGGAAACAAGTTCAACAATCTAGAGGAGATGGACAAATTCCTACAACTCTACAATCACCCAAAGCTAGATAAAGAAGAAATAGAACACCTAAACATGTCAGGGCCAGCCGGGCAAATCAAGGGGGTACCCGGGGGAGGAAGCAGGGGCTTGGTATGGAACAGGGGTACGCGAGGAGTGGAGACAAAGCCAGGATCATCGCCAGTCTCATTTATTCAGGAATGTGTACAATGTTATATAGGGTTCAGAGGAGGAGGTCTCTCCTTATCTCTAGCAAGGAGAGACCACCAATGCAAACAAGCCACAGTAGCAAGCAGGGGGAAAGGATCAGTCGTCACAATAGGAAACTTGAAACCTTCACTTGAGCTAACATTCAGTACCTGCTTCAGGCAAGAACCCCGATGTTCAGGTCTGGGCCTCAGGTCTGGGCCCCGACAGATCCTCCTTTTCTATTATTTCTAATGAGAGAGCGAAAAGACAAAAACCCCTCGGGAACTGCGCCTGTCTTAGGTCTCAGGAGTCACAGACGTGTGGCGATTTAGCACCTCAAGCCATTTTGAGTCTGTCCCCGATCTTACCCGTCATTGGCTGACCAGTCCATCGCACAGGGAAGGGAGTCTTATTTCTTCAGACTGAGTGTAAGTCTGAGTAAGAGCCTCCCTTATCTAGCATCTCCAACTTATGGTAATGTACCTGAATGGGTTTTGCCTGAAGGGCCTGAATCTGTTGTCTTACAAAAGAGATTATCCTGTTAAAAATGTAAGGACCCACAACAACCAATATCAAAAGGGTTAATAGGGGACCCATGAGGGAAGAAGGTAGGGTAGGAGTCCATTGAGACCGGTCCAGAGTGGATTTTCAGCTAGCTCCTGGCATCTTCTTTCCAGGTCATCTTGTAACTGTCGGATTTTATTGCGGACAATTCCTGATTTGTTGGCGTAGAAACAGCATTTCTCCTGCAGGACCAAGCAAATACCCCCCTTTTCCGCTGTTAGCAAATCAAGGCCCCGTCGATTTTGAAGGACTACCTCAGCTAAGGAGTCAACCTGATCCTGAAGATCCTGAATAGTACTGGAAAGAGCATGAACATCATTAATAAGTTGTTGAGACAGTTTAGTATATTGTGAGAGAGATATGCCTAATCCAGCTGTCCCTGAGGCCACGGCGGCAGTTATACCCAGGCCTGCAAATAAGGGAATCAGGTATACTGCTCTTTTACTTCTACTGAAAAAATGGTCAACCGTTGGAATGGGCATGGGCTCACTTCCAGGAACCATGTTTATGTTGGGTAGAAGGAAACCCAACACGCATTGACCAGTCCAATTAGTCGGCAATGCGGTATACGCCCGGTTATTTCCACAAATGAAAACAGTGTCCACGGGAGGACAAAGAGGAGAATTCACCTGAGAGGTGACATTGGTAAAAGTGGAACAATTTGAAAAAGCTAGTGCTCCCAAGTCAAGAGAGGTATTAAGATCGGAAGTGAAACAATGCGCCTCAAAAAACTGGATAGGCTGAACCAAGATGGGAACCGAGAAAGAACAATTATGGTAGGGCGCAAGTGAGGAATTGGTTGTTGGAAAGGCCAAAGGCACAGGGAAACCCATTTGTAAACATAGCCAACAATTATTGGCCAGTGAGGAATTTGTTGAATTAAGTAAATTGAACGAAGAGTTGAGGATATTAAAAGTATTGTAGTCAATGCCCAACTTTTGTCTTTCAGCAGGAAGGGCAAGTAGATGGTAG